TATATATATATTATATTTCCGAGAGAACGATATGCGATTATTATTTCATGGAAGTTGTAATCTTGTTTCTCTTTTTATTACAATAACGGTACTTTATGCTAAACATGCATTTAAACGTCCTTCATCTTGCTCGAACATTAATAATCAAGTTTTTTCCTTATCATCGATAATAATGTGCGATCTATCTAGTTTAATTTATATCATCTTGAAGAATCGTCCCATTAATATAAAAAATTGTACATGAAATATCTTGTTTCCTTGTATTTTCTTAGCTAGAATGCAAATAATCCTTTTACTTTCTCTTTTTATCTGTTTCTATTTTTCATTTTGATTGTTCCGTGCTCGGCAATGAACTTTCGAGTTCCTAATGCCAATTAATAATAATAATAATTGTTCCGTGCTCTGTCGAAATAAGAATTTGTCAACTTACGCATCGTCGTTTGATTGAGAAACGTTCATATTTTTATTGTAAAATAAACAATATTATAATAGTATTAAGAAACAACATTTGTAATTGTATTTATTATTTCGCAGATGATAATAAAATGAAAAGTTCGATTAAACGATATTTAATTAGCACCTTTAATTCGTTCAAAAAAAGTTTGTCTTATTTATTACATTCCAGTGAAAAGTAATATATAAAGATTAAATTTGTTTCACTTGGTAATAATAGGAAAAAAATAATATATAGATAAGATGATCGATATCAATTAAGTATGATTTTATTATAACGTCGATGAATGATCTCAATTTTCCTGATATTGGCCTGAATCGGTACCCCACTTAATCGCGGATGTAGGAAATACGAATACAGAAGACCCATGAACTGGATTCCCTTCTCTGCAAGGCAAGGAAGGTTATACCAATACTCTGGATTGATCTATTGGATCAACCTTGATGCTCCCCGATTATGTCGTGGGATATCAAACAGTAACTATTATCAACTATAATTTATCTACATTAGAAATTTGAAGTAGGTTATTTAATAGGAGAATAAATCGAATATTATATTTTATGGAAAATAATTATACAGCGAGAAAGGGATGGGTCCTATAAGAAAGATTAAAACAAGCGATACATTTAAATCTTTTAATTTCTATGTTAAACGTGTTTCATCGAATCAAAATTTAATCAATAAGCGATATGTTATAATTTGCACAATATCCAACTCGATAATACTATCTGTTAGAAATCTTTCGAATCGATCGCGATCACGATAAATTTATTATGCAAGACAAGTTAAATACTCGTTTTTACAAGGATACAGGCTGTTGTTTGCCAAAGCAATCTACTCCGGAAAATAAAAAGTACATTATTTAATTTTATCTGATATTATCTTTTTATCAAAATGTATTTCCAAAGCAAGATTTAGAAATAAAATGTACGAAGAAGTATTCGTATTAGAATCGCGTCGTCTAATCAAATTGTTCTTAAATGTACTTGTGAGGCGTGATTAAAATCAGACGAATACATTAGTCGTTGTTGGTCAATGTACGAATCTAATTTAATCGAAAGAATTATTGTTGTTTTATGAATTATATCTGTGATAAAAAACGTGATTAACAATATTAATTATTGACATTGATATTACGTGATGGAAATATTTTATTATATATTTTATGTACAAGTAAAAAACCGAAAAATTATATATTATGTAAATATATACTATTAAAAGAAAGAGCAATTATAAAATGATATGGCTGACAAGTCAATGTGATTTCTTATTTTAAAATATATATATTTAACAAATGTAACGTAATAAATATGTTATAATAACATAGGAGTATTTTTGTAATCGTAACACTAATTAATGGAAAATTTTAATACATAAGAAAACAAAAGATTTACAAAATACAAATACTAAGTAAATATATTTCCTTAATTTTTAAAGGCGCTTATAATTTGAGATGGAAATAATTGAAATAATAAATTTTTAATTTTCTTTTTAGTTTTAAGTAGATATACTGTCTACATCTAATTGCGATAACATTTCATCATCAGAATCATTATTGCTATCACAAAATATATTTGCAGACCAATAATCGTTGATTAATGGTGTTTGTTTATTATCTAATTTATTATTATTATTTTGTACCACGTTTTCACTAGGCAAATCTGTATCTCCGGAAATTGATTTTTCCGATGTTAAAACATATTTACTTTTAAAACCCGCTAATTTTTCCAATCTGGATAGTTTACATTTATTCTTGTTATTTTCTCTATTATCACTACAATTTGTATTTTGATCTGTAAAGTATTTTGAAGATGCATCTGTTGGGACTCCTACAGATAAACTGTCATTATATTTCACTAAATTTTCTTTATTTTCTTTTACTAAAACATTGTTTTTTGAGCCTGCTATATTCTTGTTTATCGTTGTTTTATCAATATTTTGTAAAGATATGTTAGCTGATTTATTTTTACAAGCTGCAGCAGCATTTTTTATATTGTCTCTATTTTGTACTATATTTGTATTTGTCGAAAATGTTTGCAGCAGTGGTAATGAAGGTTTTTCATTACTATGTGTATCTATATTAGAATTATGCGATAAATTTTGGTTTTTACAAATTTTGTTGCCAACTTTCTCAGAGGATAAACTACCTTCTTGGCTAATATCTATAATATTATTGCAACTATTTTCTTCTATTTCATAATTATTATCTTGAAGTGGAGATAAATTTGCCGAATTAAATTCATTTGTCATGGAGAATTTGTTCTTTAAAAGTTCCATATGCGGTGTACGTATAATATCTCCTACATTAGAATAAATTGCCAATAAATTTGAAGGTGAAATTAGAATATGATATTTATGTATAATAAACGTCCCTGAAATACATAATAATCCTACATTTTGTAATAAGAGGACAACATTTTTGTCGAAAGCTCCAGGATATGTAGCGGGAATATCTGCATGTAGAGTTCCTTCAATTTGATCCGTAAAGTCTTTTAACACGATAGGAGGATTTTCATGACTATAATCTATACTTTCTATTATGCCTGCAAGAAATGGTATTTTAATAGACCGATGCTGATTTGTGCTAGCAATTTTTTTCACTTCTGCTATTTGGTAATTTTTCAGAAATTCTGCAGGTAAATCATTTAGCATTATTTGCCAAGCACCTTCCGAAAATAAAGTTTTTGTATTCTGAGAACAATACTTTGCTAAACTATTATTTTTCTGATCTTGTACGCTTTCATCTTTACTGTCTTCTACATTTATCAAATGTGATGTTGGAAGTGTAGAAGTATCAATGAAATCTGGTAGCAATCCAGCTGGTCCTGGAAATTTTCTTACAAGAGCTGTTTTCTTGTTAGACTGTTTTTCGATGTTAAATATAGAAGATGAAGACTTTGTATCATTTAAGAACATTTTGTTAAATGAAGTAGAAGGCTTTAAATGTTGCGTTAATAAAGATTTTCTTGAACTTGGAGATATATCATGTACATTGTTGTTAATCTTTTCATTTATTTGTTCTTCAATATTTTCTAATTCTTCTCGTTCCTTATAAATATTTTTTCTTATAATTGACTTTTCATTGTAATCATTTTTGTCAGAAACTGTGTTATCAAGAAAACTTTTATTTGGATAAGAATTTAATTTTTGTAATTTGATTTCCGAGTCATTACAATTGCCTTTACTTTTCTCCCTATTTAAAATATTCTCAATTGGAGAACGAGTAGGCGTAAAAATATTAGAAACACTAACAGTACTATCTGTTACATTTTGGACATTTTTTTTGTAAAAAATATCAAGAACCATCTTCCTTCTCGAACTTTGTATATTTTCATCATTTTCTGAAGAAATGGTATTTTCAAAGCATTGTTTTGGATTTTCGTTGAATCTTATGCCGATCTTATTAGATTCTTCTTTATTATCGCTCGTTGTACTTTTTTGTTCATTATCTAATTTGCGTTTTTTAGCAGGAAATTTTGTTTCTTCATTTTTATCATCCAGTGAGAAGAACTCTCGTGCTTTATCATCTAGATATTGCGAATATTCCTAAAACATATTAGATTTACATTAACCATATCATCTATTTATTATATTCCATCGATGTCTTATTTATTATTTACTAATTTTAATAAACGAAGAGAGGCGATCATTTTGTAATTACATACCTCATCACTACTCCAGTCTTCATTTTGAAACATATTTTTTATAAACTTATAACATAGACACAAGATAATACAAGCTAACAAAGACTAATATAATGATTAAATTTTATATAAATTTAAAAAAGTAAACTGCTAAATAGTAGTTAATTTTCTTTGCATTTCTGCCAACGTTTACATTAAACGGTAAGGTAATTCTTGATTTGTTTATATAGATGTCACTAGATGTCTTTGCGTGCAGCGCTCCGCTGCGGACGTTTTTGGAATTTTTTTCGAATCGAAATTATACATTACCACATTAATTTATCGTAAAAACAAACAGTACTAAAGTAATTAACTGCTTATTTTGTTGTAAATTTGACTGATATATAATAGAAGTACTTAAAAATACTATACCAAATAGATACTAATTATAATTGCGAACATAACTAATGAAAAATTTATTAACGTAATGCTAATAAATCATAAAGAAAATTAAATGTATTTAAATAGCATAATAATGAAATTATAATGGATAGATTATTCAAATAGATTAGAAAAATTTAAACGCAAAGATTTTTTTTATTTGAGTACTATGTTTTCAAAATAAGCTTAAATAGGCCTAAACAAATAGGTCATTATATATAAAGACCTGAATTATCACACATTTGTAATTTAACAATAAAAAATAATATTTTTTGACGAAGCTAGCTAATACTCGATAGTAACTACAACATTTTGTTTTTTTTTCTGTCTTACATGTTATATGTAAAATATTAATGCCTTGACTTATAATATCGAACGGGATTTGCGATAAGAATGTTATATTTATTTTTTCCTTATTAAAATTATCGCTCTATAATATGTAGTAGTTAACTTATGTTGATATATATTTATGATTTTTCTTGGGATGATTCATAGGAGAAGAGATATATGTATGAACAGCGTAATGTGAAAAAAAGAAAAGAAATTTATTTCAAATTAAATAAAAAAAAGGAAAGAAATAAATAATTGCGATAAATAGTAAAAAATAAACAAATTTAGTATATTAATTTTATTCGTTAAGATTTAATACCCTTTTGTTTTTCAATGAATTCCCTTCGATGTTTAACTTATGATTAATTAAATACTTTATCTTTGTTAATATAAATATTCGTCAATGTTATATTTGAAAGTTATGATACTTTTTTAAAAGAAAAATATTAACTTCACAACGAACAAATTGATTTAATTAGTTTCGAACTTTCGTGTTCTCTGACGTATGAAACCTAATTCGTTCGCATTAACTACCTTACCTTTAAAATATAAAGATTAGAAAAGCGAAGATTTTTATTTTCTTTTGTTTGCAATGTCGAATGAAAAGAAGAATACACGTAGGTGACTGTAAAAGATGATTACGTACGTTCAGAATGTTAAAACAAAATTATGAAAATGATTGTTTTTTTTTCCTTGTCAGACATGATAATTAATTATTATATCAGTACGTTAAGAGAGATTAAATAATTTAACGATGAATTATTGCACAACTTATTTTTAATACACGCGTTGAGCATATAATTTTACATGGGGGTTACCTATTATAACAACGATTAAATCAAACATTTATTTATGTAGAAAAGGCTCAACAAAAATAAGGACCAAAAAAAATTGCTCATGGTCACAAATGACACACGATTTTTAGTTGTACGTCATCGGTTGTTAAAAACAAAAAATAAAAAAGAGAGAGAAAAAGAAAATAGATAAGAGGATAGGCAAAGGGGAGGGTGGGATTGTTTTTAAGTTCTTGTTAAACTCGTTAAACGATATATTCGACGACTGGGCGTGTGACTTCGTATATTGTTTGGATTTATTTAATAATATATATGGTATCACAATAAATCATAAAGGTGCTGTACACAGATGAATAGTACGTGTGTGTGTTGGGGGATGGGTGATTGTGTGTATGTGTGTGTTTAATACGATGACAAAGCTATATAATATTATATTTTTCTCCTTCTTCTTATAGTATACTCTCTCTCGACTCTCCCCTTCTTCCTCTTCTTCTCACCCTCCCACTCCTCTCTCTCGCTCATCAGAAATAGGAACAAACAAAAATAAATATATGCGTTTTTCTTTCCATAAAATACGACGATTAATCTTTATATCAATTATATAATGCACATATAAAATTAAAAAATATAAAAAAACCGTCCGGTCTCGTTTATATACGTTAAGAGCAACAATTATTATACTGGCGACTTATTCGATATCGTCGATTTTATTATTATTAGCGTATGAAAGTGCGATGCGCGTAAGCTTATTTTATTCTCTATCATTTTTCTTGTCATTGTTAATAATTATACGACAATGTTTTATCTTCGCTAAATTTCATCGTAGGACATATACGAGTTTAGTTAGTTCTGCTGTAAACTACTGGGGGCGGGGGGTCCATTTTTACGAGCACCAGATGACTTTTCGCAATCCTTAGATAGATCACGCGGGATAATTACGATAAAATCACTTCGAAAAACACATCTGATTATTTACACAACAAAATTATTCAGAATCTTTTCTCTCTGTTTCTCTTCTTTGTCAATCTTTCTTTTTTTTCCCTTTCTGTTCCTCTCTCTTTCTCCATCTCTTTCTTTCGTCCTTTCATTCAAAGATACACTCATACATTATTATCACGCTCGCACAAAATCTTTCCCGTTCCTCCTCTCCCCTTTTCCTCGGTTCTTCTTTTTTTTCCTTCTATTACTTTTTAATTTTTTTTTAATTTTTATTTATTTATTTTTTTTTATTTTTTTTTAATTTTCTTTTTCTTTTATATATAATATTTCATCGTTTACCTTCCTCACCGATTTAGATATCTAATTGGGTAATCCTTTGCGGCACGCAACCGAAACACGGTTGGAAAGCTAAGAGTAATAATAATAATATGCGATAAAATTTCTTAGTTGTGTACGTCTTTTCTTAGTCACAAGATAAAACAAAATCCAATGTGGGTTATTTTTTTTTGCTTTTTCTCTTCTTTCTCTATATGTGTATTCATTACCATATATATAAAACTGTTATGTTACTTAAGTAAAGTAAAAATGTTTTCCTTCGATAAATGTTCCTTAAAACGCTACCAAAGGATTATGGGATCTCATTTATATCCTTCTTGTGAAAAAAAATAAAAATAATAAGAAAAAGAAAAGAAAAATGATTAGTATATAACAATAACGATAACGATCCGCTTAATTTAAAAAGGGTCCTCGGGGTTCGTATTATGATAATTAGCGGATCCATACAAGATATGCTCTTTTATCGTAGAGCCATTCAATCGGCACTCGAGATTAACTGATTATCGGTGTGTGCGACTACGGGAGACAAATCTTTTTTAGGTACATCATCCTCGTTTTTACTATCCGTAGTTATTATCGTCGTCGTCATCGCCGTCGTTGTTGTTTTCGTAATTTCGGCGTTATCCGCAGTACCATTTTGCATTACTTTCACTTTAGTCGTCGATGATGATTTAATAGCAGCACCAGACGACTGTCTAGACGTAACTTTAGATGTAACTTTTTTAATTGGCGAATGTGCTGACGTTGATGTTGTGCTGGTTAATTTTTGACTCGACATACGTTTTGTTGTATTAGAGCTAAGGGTTGTTGTAGCGGACATAGAAGAACGTGTTGTTTTAGTTATTGGTGAACCCGTAGTACGAGACATAGAGATTTGCTTGTTAGCGGTCTCTTTGATTTGTTTGTCGATCATTGGTGATTTTGCTAAAGTACGCGAAGTCTTGGTAGTGTTATTACTAGTCGAAGTTGTTTTAGATTTCGTTGCATTTGATAAACTACCGCCAGAACTCGTTGCATTCGTACCTGCTGATTTTGCAGGTGATTTAGCTGCCGTTGTAGCGGAAATAGGTCTTGATTTGCCGGTCGCCGATGAGGTAGTCGTCGTCGTCGTCGACGTTATCGCGGTAGTCGATGCTCGCGAACCCGTCGTAGTTTTACTTGCGCTTGTTTTAGCTGAAGCAGATGTCGATTTGGTAGTAGCAGCAACTTTTGTGGTTATCTTACTCAAAGGTTTAGCATCGCTAGTAAGGGTAGATTTCTTTTCAACCGAGCTAGTAGTAGTAGTTCTCGCTGAAGCTAGTAAAGGCTTTGATTTCGTTTGGGCACTGCTTGGACGCGTAGCAGTCTTCGTCGTTGACGATGTTGTCGTTGCCGATGTTTTGCTAGCCATTTTCGTCGTTGTTGTTGATTTTGCTGCATTAGTAGAAGTTAAAGATTTAGTGGGCGCCGTATCCATGTTTAGGACGGTTAATAGATGTTTAGGACGAGCAGCTGCACTTCCAGTCGGTTTCTTTGTCATAGGTGCTGTTGCTGTAGAACTTGAAGATTTGGCCGTCAAAGTGACATTCTTAGAGGGCGAAGTTGGAGTAGACTTTGGCGGTGCAGCCTTAGTATTTGAGATTCCAGGTTTCGTTGATCGAGTCATTGTAGACTTTACTTTGGTTTTATTGTTGCTTGTAGGTGTAGTAGTAGGTGTTACTGCCGTGACTGTTCCTGCAGCTATAGCTGGTGTCGCTTTTTCTTTTTCTTCTTCGACCTTTAGAGGTTCTTCTACTTTTAAAGGTTCGGTCACCTTCTGTTCTTCTACATCCTGCACAATCGTTGCCGATACAGCCTCAGTAATGCCTACAGTTTTAGCAATATTCGCAGGCTCTTCAATTTCTGCAGTTTCTATCATTTCCATGTTAGTAGTAGTATCTTCGGATTTGATTATTTCTACGTTTCTTAGAGATTCCTCGCTTTCTTTGATTCCCGTAAAAAGGACAGTCGTCTTGGTATCTGTAGGCGTTGATACAGGTTTTTCTAGGTCGAAAGCATCCGAAGCTTTTTCAATTACAATATCTTCTATGGGTGTCACAAGTTCTGTAGGCTTTGACAAGTCTGTTGATTGTGTAACTTGTACAATTTCGACATCTTCCTTAGCTTCTAATGCTTCTTCTTCTTTTTCTTCTTCTTCTTCTTCTACTTTAGTATCTAAAAGTAAGTTTTCTTCGACAGTTTCTTGTACAACTGACTCTTTAAGTTCAACAACTTTCTCATTCATCATTTTATCTTCGATGCTTGGAGTCAATTCGGCTATTGGAGATTCCTCGGGTATACAATTTTCAGGCTCTAATTGTTTCTCTAAGCCTGTAAATTCTTGTACAGATTCCGATAAATATAATGCAATCTTATCACCGACTTTTACTAATTCATTAACGTCGACTTCCATTTTATCAGTAGATTTTTTCTCTGTAATATCTTCGAAAGAATAAGATTGAGGATATTCGTCAGCTTTGTTTTCTTCGATGTTATCTATTATAGGCACTTCAGTGGTAGTTTCGTTAAGTTTTGACAAATTTTCAGTAGGTCGATCATTGTCGTTGACTGTCTCCGAGGCAAACGTTGGTAGAAAAGAGGACGATTCTTTTTGATGATTCTCCGTTGAATCAAGTTGCTGCATTATTGGGTCCTTTGAATCATCTAATTCTGACAAATTTAACGCAATATCATCGACTTTCATATCGTTAGTAAATTTCTTTTCTGGAGAACTTTCCCACTCCATATAAATTTGTTTGTCATTTGTATTAATAGGACATACGGATTCATCCATACGTTGCGATGATTTCTCACTAATATCTCCGAAAGAATAAGATTTAGAATATTCGTCGGATTTGTTTTCTTCGATGTGATCTATTGTAGGAACTTGAGTAGTAGTTTCGTTAAGTTTTAACAAATTTTCAGTAGGTCGATCATTGTCGTTGACTGTCTCCGAGGCAAACGCTGGAAGAAAAGAGGCTGATTCTTTATGACAATTCTCCATTAAATCAGGTTGTTGTTGCGTTGAAGAATCTTCTAAAAGTGATTGTTTCGATGCGATATCAGACAATGCTGGTTCTCCGGTACAAAACGGATCGACGGAACTCTTAATTGGTTGAAATTCTGAAACCTCTGAGCATAAGTTAAAAACCATAATAGGACGTTCTTCCTCTCCTGTAGTTAACTTGAGATTTTCCATGGAAGAGATTAGACCGTTTTTCATAGGTTCAGTAGATGTCTCAACGAGTTCCGTTTTGATCGGAGGATTTAATTTCGACGATTCATCGATCGTAGATGACAAGAAATTGTATTGATCTTGCGATATCGTATTATCTTTGAAAATTTCCGACTGAATTAAATCCGTTGCAATTTCGACTGGTATATCTACGATAAGTTCGCTGTTGTCCTTGCTAGGAATAATATCGTTGTCTGCTGCGATATCTTTTTCATCATCGACGTATTCCGCTTCTTTGTGCGTTTCTGCTTGTTCGGTTTCTTTTACTTCTTCTTCTTCCTCTTTTTTATCTTCTTTTTCTTCTTCTCGTCGTTCACCACTCATCGCCTCTTCTTTATTTTCTAACAAATCAAAAGATTTATTATCCTGTTCCTTCGAAAAATCGTACTGGAATGATGGATCGATTGGAGACGATGACGGATGATGTTCTAATTCAACTTGAATAAATTCCGTATTTTTTGGTTCAACGGAATCTTGAAACTTTAAGAAAGTGTTATTATCGTCCTTTGACAATAAAGATGACGTTTGTATTTCATTAGACGTATCTCCGTTTGATAATATATCAAATTCAATGCGACGCCCTAAATCCGTTGTTTTTGGGGACTGGGAAGAAGTTTGTATTTCGGAAGAAAAATTTTCATCTTCTAAATCCTCATCGCTTAGATTGTGAACAGCATTTAAATCGACTTCTTTATTAAATGCTGCTTTAAAATCGCCCGGAGTATAAGAAATTACCATTGGATTATCTCTATTATAAATATCGCAATCCGAATCCCCAAAGGACTCTTCCATCGTTGAGATATCAGTTTTATGTAAATCTATACTTGTTGTACATAAAAAGCTTATCGTTTCATCCCCGTATTCGGCTTTGGTCGAAGAAATCTCAGATTCGTCTAGACCGGCGGCGGCAGCGGCGGTAGTAGTGGTGGTGGTGGCAGTTGTTGGGTTCATTATTTTCTGTTGTTCCGTATAAAAATCATAATCGGAATGGGCTGCGTGATTGCCATTAGACGATGAATCTTTCTCATCGATTTCATGAGGCCTAGCAGATATTTCCTCATCAAATTCTTGTTCGCTCGGTACCATTATATCGTCCATGATTGCTGTTTTCATAGGAGAGCCTGCAACGAAACTATCATTTATCGCACTAATTTTAATTGCACGCTTTGGCGACGAGATCGGAATAAATTCCGCCGCGTTAGGATTCAATTGAGAATCCATATTTTTGTCTTCCTCTTCTTCTTCTTTTTCTCGTTTATTATAATCGTCTTCCTCTTCTTCTCGTTTATACTCTTCTTCCTCTTCTTCTTCTTCTCGTTTATACTCTTCTTCCTCTTCTTCTTCTTCTCGTTTATACTCTTTGTCCTCGTCGTATCCTTCGTTTCTTTCTTTTTCTTCTTTTTCTTTCTTTTCAACTTCGTTTTCTAGATTCAGGAACGCGGAGTCAATTTGTTTTTCTTCGATGCCAATCTGAAAAAAATACATAAACAAAAATAATTAGATTGAAATTTTATATGTACATCGAGATTAGAAAAAATTGATTTTTTTTTAAGAAAATGCATTTGATGAAATATTTGTTTCGATCACGTCGTTCGTCTTACATCAGTGTTACTAAGCTCGGGTAATATTTCTTCCCCTTTTTGACTCTCGCATTCGCTGCTACTGCTGCTACTTCTGCTGCTGCTATTATGATGCTCGGATGTTGGAGACCGAGATAATTCTTCTACGTTATTATCCTCGTCGAGGTGTTCAACGTTTTTAATTTCGTTGTCGTTATTTATTTCACGTAGCTCTTCGGAAGTTGTGATAGTATCTTTCTCTTTATTTGGCCCAACGCGATAGTAATTCCACTCGTCCTCGGAATCCTCGCTATCCGCTACATTATCCGCTTCGGGTAACAATGCATGCTGAAGAGCTTCTGCAATAGGAATAAGAATAAATTAACGATCAAAATATATATACATGCTATAGTTAAGATTTAACCTTCCAGAGAGTATTAGTTATAATTATATAATTACATAGTATTAATATAACTATACTATTCAATAGTAATAGTATTTACTACTAATATATATTATTAATAGTAAATACCATGCTATATTATTATCTTAAAATAAATACCATGCTATCTATATTATTATTTTAAAATCATGTAATTTTCGTCAGACACATTTTTTTCTATTTCCAATAGCAATGGAGTATTAGATTTAAATGCATACAAAGTGTATAATAGCTTATATTTACTAAATATTACAACAAACTTCTAATAGGGAAAAGAAAAAACATTTTTAAAATGAAGAACTCAAATAAAATCTAACATAAATGAACATACATCTACACATATTTAAATATTTAACAATAAAACGTAGAAAGTTAAGAGATGAGTTTTTCTTTTTCGTTGCTTTTACAAGACGTAATGCATTTCATAAGAACAGTGATACGGTAGGGTAAAGAATCCTACACTATTTAATGCACGGCTGCACTTGTATGCATATAATACGCATCTCTTATATGTCTCGAATAAGAGGATTTATATTTTCCAAGAAGGCATATAAATAATGAATTCCTGTAAACCACCATCTGTTCACAAACTTTACACAGTTTCAATTAAAAAAACCATCGCGATAATCTTTATTATTCATAGTAAATGAAAAATTTAAAATACAAGTAAGAGTTATTTGAGATGAAATCTATGATTGAACGACGACAATGCAACAACGTTAGCAACAACAACCAAGATACCCAGCAGAGAGCCACGCCTTAGTATCGAAAGAAAAAAAAATCGAACAACTACAAATCGACGAAAAAGAAATTCGTCATCGTTCCTAAATCTCCTCACTACGAAATAATTTAATTAAGTTAAAAATTAAACGATGCAATTATTTTTTAAATGAACACATTATTTTCACCATAATAGTCACCCTTTATTACTTGATAATGAATCTATTCGTAACTTTGAAATAGCTATGTAAAAATTAACGTAATAGAAAAAAGAATACTGACCGAGAGAATATCGATAAAAAAGAAAACGAATTGACTAAAGTCTAGACAGAAATTATTTTGATTCTTGGCACAGAGGAATGAGAACGATAAAAGATCGATTGGCCTTTTTAAAAGTAACGATCAACCAACCACCACCACCCACCACCACCAACCATAATTCACTTTCTTTTAGTAAGTTAATATATTATATAGTCTCGGGTAATACGCAAGAACGAATTCGAATGACATGTAAAAATGTATTACTGCTCACAATGTAATTCGAAAAGTATAATATCAACGAGTATAAGAGAGTACAAGAAGAGAGAAAAAATGAAAAAGAGAAAGAAAAAAAAATAGAAAAGGAGAGAATGATATTACTCCTCGGGAAGAACGATCAGCAGGGACTAAGAGGAACTACGCCCCCGCCAAGAGATGCATTATCGATCTAGTCTGGAGCCACCTTCTCTGGCTACGTCCCTGGCACCACCCACCTGTGCACTAACGTATAGCAACAGTCGCACCTCATTTTCCCGTAGGAACGACCACCCATTTCCCAGGGATTGATCCTTATCGAAGAGATGCGCAGCAGAGAAAACATAACCTATTGTTGGGGGTGTCTTAGTATCTTCCTCCCCTTCTTCCTTTTTCAAAATGACATTTTTCCATTACTGAATTATAATTAAATACATATAATCTCTAAAGTCGCATGTACAGTAGTAATGCTATTATACTATTATCGTATGATATATATATATATATAAAATACATATGTATAATATATAAATGCGTTTAAAATAATAGAATTACGTAGAAAGAGGATAAGTGAAAAAAAAGCTCTCTCCCTACGGTCCCAGACGGAAAAGAAAGTAATCATGAAAATCCTTCGCGTGTAGGGCGGAAGGGAGGGGCAGGCATTCCTAACGGCAGCCTAGGGCTTAATTGCTCGTCGTAGTCGTCGTCGTTGTCTGACGTATGCTTGGAACAGGCTTAAGGAATGTTCAAAAAAGGAACCACCCACGCAGAGAACACACTTGTTTAACTCATTATCCTACTCTTAATTCCAACTTCTCTGTATTATTACTACTACTACTACTAGTACTACTACTACTAGTACTACTACTACTACTACTACTACTACTACTACTACTACTACTACTACTACTATTACTACTACTACTACTACTACTACTACTACTATTACTACTACTAATACTACTACTACTACTATTACTACTACTACTACTACTACTATTACTATTACTACTACTACTACTACTACTCTACTACTACTACTACTACTACTACTACTACTACTACTACTACTACTACTACTACTACTACTATCACTATCACCATCGTCATCACTACTACCACTACCATTGTCTACCACAAATGCGATAATATGTATGTATGTATACTTTTATATCGATTTGAGAGTTATCTACTAACTTCTTTTTTTTCTTTCTTTTTTTTTTTGTAGATACGAAGAGAAATTGTAGTAGGAATTTCGAAGAAGTGACTAATAAAACTGCTAAAGTATATCAAAGATATATATATATACCTTTGATATATCTCTATATATATAAATATATATACCTTCGCAATGATTTATAGTATATGCTATTATGGAATACATTAAGAACCCATAAAATACGTAGCTTATAAGGCACTCCTTTCCTCCACTCTCACCCCGCCGCTGTTTCTTTTAAACTGGCACGCATGTCGTTAACTAAATTTCAACACGCGTGAGACGCACGGGAAACCAAATACAAATACAAGATTATGTTGTTGTGTTGTTTCCATTCTTTGTTGTTATACTACAAATAGAGATAGAATTTTTTTTATCTTATTCATTATCTTATATATTGTATCACTTATTTACATATACGGTATTATATATTATCAATATCTACTTCCGTTTCTTTTTTATCTTACTGATTAGCAAATTTTATCAATGATGTCTTTTAACTCTTCGAGGTCCAAATGGCGTATTTTTATTACGTATTTATCGAGTTTTTATCTCCCTTTAACGAGATCGATTATAGTCATGTAAAGAGAGGGAAAGGGAAATGGGAATAGGAATGGGGAAAGGATAAGGAAGAATAAGAAAGAGATAAAATGGTTCGTTTCGTCGCTTTCTTTCGTGTTTGTACATAGTATACACGTGGCTAAGAAAGAAAAATATACGAGGAGGACCGTTGAAAAAGGGTCTCTTCTCTCTCTTGGTATGTGTATAAGCGCAGCACGCCTCTCTTATTCGGGTCCTTTTATTTAACTTCTTTTACCATTTTCCCCGAGTTTCTATGTTTTAATGCAACGTGTATCGGTTGCGCGTACGAAGAGTGAGTGTAGGGCTAATTTTAAACTGACATCAAAAAAAAAAAAAAAAAAAAAAAGAAGAAGAAAGGAAGAAAAAGAAAAAGGAAGAAAAGAAAATAGAGATTCAATTATAGCCCTTGTTTTCAATCCATCATATTTTTTAATCTTATTTCTTTTTTTCTTTTTTTGTGATTATTTCACAAAAAGTATCGAGAAAGAAAGAAACAAAATAAGAAAAATTTCAATGAAAATCAGAAGATTCGATGATGTCGGTCAGGCAACGACGTTGTTAAAAGCGTGGAGAGGAAGAGAGTATTCTAAATTTAGAGCAAAGCTCGTCTTCGTGAAATTCCGCGAGTACGGGTAGCAAATAAAGCTCCTAAATGACGAAATCAAATGGAATACACCCCCCCCACATCTCCACTGTTGGAATATTAGTCAAAAGATAAATTTATGCTTATTGTATCGGGTGTCTGTTGCGTCTATCTGTATTTCGGTGTGCCTTACTCGGGGGTACTGGGAATGCTGACGGAAATTTGTCAACGACTTTGTTGTAAGCAAGAGATATAAAGGCTGCAGGGTGTTGGCAGCTAGCTGAAGTAAGTCATAATGTATCAGAAGTAAGTTGCTAAGAGTGTAACCAACGGACAGTAAGAATGTAACCGTAATTGTGTAACCATCATAAAGAATAACGCTCTTTAAAGTATTTTCCGTCTTCTTTTTTCTTAACATGGTAGCAGAGCGTGGTTACCTTGGTTTGCTTGATTACGACGGAAAAAAAGGAAAAATGGTAATGGTGGTTACAAATAATTAAAAAGGAAAAACCGTTCATCTAAGAAGATAAAGAAAAGTGTGAGTGTAGAATCAAGTTCGTGCTCAAAAAAATAACAAAGGAAAACTCATATAAGTATATAGGAAAGCTTAATGAGTATCGAAGCAAAATATTTGCATCTGAAAGATAAAACTCCAGGATGGGTGTATACGGTTACGAAGGAAAAGTTAATTGAGTTTTTGTGCGTATTCGAGACAGGATCAGTGTTAAAGTTTGTGTCCGTTGAAGATTTAAAAAAGCTGTGCAGATGATACAAGCAACGAGCAAATACCTTGACGGTAGAAACTATGGTATTTGAAAAAAAAAAAAAAGATTTGATTTCATCAATTAGAATGGTTTACTTTAGAAAATACGTTTAACATGTTCATTATATAGAATGTTTCACAATGGAAATTACATGGAAGATAATAATAAAAGGAAAGAGAGAGAGAGAGAGAGAGAGAGAGAAATAATCACAAAGAACTGCATATCGTCCGCAAAGTACCAACTCTAACTCATACATTGCAAAGAGTAATATTATTAATCATAGTATTAATTAATAATAACATAATATTTTTTTATAATTGGAAAAAAAGTATAGGTGTCCATACCATTTCTTGGCTATTAAAAAGATTCTGAATATAAAGAAAATTTCTCCACCAATATTTTCGACAAGTTTCGTGTGGACGTTCGGTCACATAGAATAAGGAAATTTTACTGTACCACATGAATTTATTTCCAATAATCCTATTATTATTATGTAAGTCGGTGTCAGTCTAAATTGGAAGAATAAATAAAGAAAGAAA